CCACAAATAGACAAAGGATTATGAGAAATTATGAGTAACTATATGCCAACAAATTGGACAATATGGAAATGAATAAATTCCTAGAAAAATACAATCTTCCAAAAGTGAATCAAAAAGAAACAGAAAATCTGAACAGATTAATTGTAACTAATGAAATCAACGCAGTATTCAAAAAAATTCTCAGCAAACAAAAGTTCTGGACCAGTTGGCTTCACAGGTGAATTTTACCAAACATTTCAAGACTGACTAACACCTGTTCTTCTCAAATTATTCCAAAAAATTCAAGAGGAGGGAAAACTCCCAATCTCATTTTACAAGGCCAGCATTATCCTAATTTCAAAATCAGATAAAGACACTATAAAGAAAAAAAATTATAGGTCAATATCCCTGATAAACATAGATGCAAAAAATCATCTATAGCCGAAACCGGTTTGGCTCAGTGGATAGAGCGTCGGCCTGCGGACTGAAAGGTCCCAGGTTCGATTCTGGTCAAGGGCATGTACCTGGGTTGCGGGCATATCCCCAGTAGATGTGCAGGAGGCAGCTGATCGATGTTTCTCTCTCATCGATGTTTCTGACTCTCTATCTCCCTCCCTTCCTCTCTGTAAAAAATCAATAAAATATATTTTTAAAAAATCATCTATAAAATATTATCAAACTGAATTAAGTAAAACATTAAAAAGATCATACACCATGGTACACTGAGATTTCATCCTAGGATGCAAGGTTGGTACAATATCCACAAATAAATGTGATACACCATACAAACTAACTGAAAAATAAAAAAATATAATATCAATAATGCAGAAAAGGCTTTTGTCAAAATCCAGCATCCATTTATGATAAAAACTCTTAGCAAAGTGGGAACAGAGGAAACCTACTTCAACATAATAAAGGTCATATATACGATAAACCCACAACTAACATTGTACTCAGTGGGGAAAAACTAAAAGTGTTTCCCTTAAGATTAGGAACAAGATGAGGATATCCACTTTCACCACTCTTATTTAGCATAGTACTGGAAGTCCTAGCCATAGCAATCAGGCAAGAAGAAGAAATAAAAGACATCCAAATTGGAAAGGAAGAAATAAAACTGTCATTATTTGCAGACAACGTGATACTGTATATAGAGAACCCTAAAGATTCCACCATAAAACTAGAACTGATAAATGAATTCATTAAAGCAGCAGGACACAAAATAAATATTTAGAAATTGGTAGCATTTTTATATACCAACTAGAGGCCCGGTAAATGAAATTCATGCATGGGTAGGGTCCCTAGGCCTGGCTGGCAGTCAGGGCCGATCGGGGCCTTCCTTTCAGCTGTCAACCAGGGCCTTCCTTCGTTCCGTGCCACCCCCTGGTGGTCAGCACACGTCATAGCGAGCAATTGAACTCCTGGTTTAACTCCCAAGGGGACAATTTGCATATTAGGCTTTTATATAGAGAGATAATGAACTATCACAGCACTTTCAACCAGTATGCTGCAAGGATTTTTAAAACATGCAATACCTGACTAGTCAGGGGCAATGACCTCTTTTCCCTTAGATTGTCAAATAAAAAAATGACAACAGCCAACACAACAACAGCCCTCCAATTTGAATAAATCAAGATTAGATTTATTTTTTTGTTCAGATCAGCAAAAAATGTTTTTGGGGTGCCACAGAAATTTAGTAATTAGTTATGTGTGCCATGAGATGATAAAGACTGAAAATCCCTGAACTATCAGAAAGAGAAATTAAGAAAACAATCCCACTTACTATTGCATCAAAATAAAATAAAATACCTAGGAATAAATTTAACCAAGGTGGTAAAATACCGGTAATTTGGAAAATTTTAAGACACTGAAGAAAGAAATTGAAGAAGATACAAACAAATGGAAACATATACTGTGCTTATGGATATGAAGAATTAACATAATTAAAATGCCCATAATACCTAAAGCAATCTGTAGATTCCATGCAATCCCTATCAAAATACAAATGGAATTTTTACAGAACTAGAATAATTCAAAAATTTATATGAAACCACAAAAGACCCCGAATAGCCAGAGCAATCTTGAGAAAGAACAAGTTAGAGGTATCACACTCCTAATTTCAAACTATAAGACTATAATAAAATTGCATGGTTCTGGCATAAAAACAGACACACAGATCAATGGAACAGAGTAGAGAGGCCAGAAATAAACCCCCACCTATATGGCCAATTAATATAGCAAGAACATTCAATAGGGTAAAGACAGTCTAGTTAAGAAAACGTGCTGGAAAAAATAGATACATGCAATGAATGAAACTAGACCGCTTTCTTATACCATATATAAGAATAAACTCAAAATGGATTAAGGACTTAAATGTAAAACTTGAAACCTAAAACTCCTAGAAGAAAACAGGCAGTAAAATCTCTGACATTTCTCTTAGCAATACTTTTTTTCTAATATATCTCCTAAGGCAAGGAAACAAAAGAAAAAATAAACAAAATGGAACTACATCAAACTAAAAAGGTTTTTTAACAGTGAAAAAACCATCAACAAATGAAAAGACAACCTGCTAAATGGGAGAAGTTATTCACCAATGATATATCCAATGAGGGGTTAATATCCAAAATTTATAAAAAACTCATACCACTCAACACCCCCCCAAAAAAAAAACAAAAAAATAACCAATTCAATTTAAAAAATGGGTAGAGGACCTGAATAGACACTCCTCCCAAAAGGACATACAGATGGCCAAAAGAAATAGGAAAAGATGATCAACCTCATTAATCATCAGAGAGATGCAAATTAAAACCATGATGACATATCACCTCACACCTGTCAGAAACTGTGTCATCAACAAATCAACCAGCGTTGGAGAGGATGTAGAGAAAAGGGGACTTTCTTGCACTGTTGGTAGAAATACAGATTAGTGCAATCACTATGAAAAACAGTATGGAGGTTCTTCAAAAAATTAAAAATAGAACTGTCTCATGACCCAGCAATTCCACTCTGGGTATATACCCAAAGAAACCCAAAATACTAATATGAAAGAATATATGCACCCCTATGTTCACTGCAGCATTATTTACAACTATTGGCCTGGTGCACGGATTCATGCACATTGAAAGGAAATTAGAAGAAATATTTTAATATCGCTATTCGCCCTTTCTCTATAATACAAGTGTCAACCAAATTCACGATCAACAATGACAGATCGAAACACATGCATGCGATAGGCACCAGCGAGAGCTTTATATGTATAGCACATGCGCGAGTCAACTTAGCCTTTTATAGATATAGAATAAACTTGCTTAATTAGACCTACTTTCTGATGTAAACTTTTCCAGCCCAGTGAAGCAGCCCAACTTCTCTTTCAGGTAATTGTCAGCAACACAGCAGTAAACATCAACATGAAGCAGATTATTATTGTAGATCACACAGGGAGAACAAAGGGTAAAATATTTAACTGCAGCAGTGTTTGACTATATTCTGTGCAGTGAGAAAACCTGAAGTCATTTTCAAGGTCCACCATTTCTTACTTCTTTTCAGTCAGGTCAAGTTTCTAAGCTTTCTAAATCTCCGTCTTCTGGCTAATGAAAAGAAAATAGGATTCTACCAAGTCTCCTATCTACCTACTCCAGGACTTCTGTGAGGATCAAATGAAATGAGGCACGGGAAAATGCTTCACAGACATTTGGTTACAGTGTAACATGTTTCCACCTGGCTCTAAAGCAAGTCGTGTTCCTGGGCTGAAGAAACTCCAAAGAGGCTAGTCGTCACTAGGGAGAGGAAGCCGGGCGTTGCTTTGTGATGTTATTACCCGGACGGACACTTAGCATATTAGCCTTTTATATACACACATAGCCAAGATATGTGCTCATTAACAGATGAGTAGATAAAAAAAAGTGGTGGTACATATATACAATGGAGTATTATTTGGCCATAAAAAAGAATGAAATCCTACCATTTGCAACAGCATGGGTGGACCTGGAAGGTATTATGCTAAGTGAAATAAGTCAGACAGAGAAAGACAAGTACCATATGATTTCACTTATGTGTGGAATCTAAAGGGCAAAATAAATGAACAAACAAAATAGAAAAAGACAGATACAGAAAACAAACAGATGGGGGGACAGTGCCAGGTGGTGGTAGCAGTGGTGTTTGTGGGGCTGGGTGAAAAAGGTGAAGGTAGTTACAAAATGTCCTGTGGATATAAAGTACAGCACAGGGAACAAAGCATTATTGTAATAACTATGTACAATTCCAAGTGGGTACTTGAAATATCGGGGGACCACTTTGTAAAGTATATTATAATCTAACCACTATGCTGCACACCTAAAACTAATACAGAATAATACTGAATACAAACTGCAATTGAAAAATAAAATTTAAATTTAAAAATAAATAAAAAGAAAAGGTTTTTGATGATATATATGTTAATAATCCTTATTTTCTTTTCCTTTGTATTGTTATTTTGGCAAATTACAAGAAAATGATAGTTCTGGTCAAAAGGCTAAAGTAGATTTTAAACAGAAATAGGTGCTATATGTATCTGAATGCTAGGATTACTAGAGTAGTTGTGACCCATACTAAATTACTTTTTAGCTCTTTGGGCATCATAGTAAGAATTGACCCCTGCTGTGGACTGAATGTTTATGTTTCCCCAAAATTCCTATGTTGAAGCCCCAGTCCCTAATGTGATGGTCCCTGGAAGTGGGGATTTTGGGAAGTAACTGAATCAAGAGAATGGGGCCTAATGAATGAGATTAGTGCCTTTACTAGCAACATAAGAGGATTTCTCTTCCTGCCATGCGAGGACAGAGAGAAAAAGATGTTCTTCTGCTAACCAGGAAGAGCTCTCTCATTAGGAACTGAATCAGCCAGTATCCTCATTTTGGACTTCTCAGCCTACAAAATTGTGAGGAATAAATTTCCATTGTGTAAGCCACCCAGCCTATGGTATTTTTGTTATAACAGCCTGAACTGACAGACAATCCTACTAGCCAAAAATTAATAGCAATACCCACCTTCATCCTCACTGCTATCAGACTCAGGAAGTTTAAGTCTTCTCCTCTTTTTCTTCACGTTTACAGTTTCTTTTGTCTCATCATCAGAGAACTCTACTCGCTTCCCCCTGTGGCCATCCAGGAAAAATTGAAGCATGTTACACAAAATAAAATTATAAGTATTCATATGCTACTATGGGTCTTGCATCATAACTCATGGTCTTAATTCCAGAGGACAGAAAAATCAGTAAGAACTCTTTTTAAGGCTAACTGACCAGAACTAGGTTACTTCATGGGATGACCAGAATAAAAATTTCCTCTAGCTCTCTCTAGACCACTGGAAACTACTACCAGATTATTGAGCATGTTCCTAAATTCTTACTGCCCCTATTGGCCTTTTAATTAAACAAGCATTCAATAAGCAGCTACTAGCTACATATATGAGGCTCTTTGCTAAACAATGAGGATGTAAGGATCAAGAAAAAACTATTCTCAAGGAGCTTGAACTGGAAAAACAGGTATAAGCACTACTGTAATACAATGTGATCATTTTACCGGACAAATGTTATGGGACATGAGTCTTACTTGAAAACTTTAAAAGCTAAGTATAAGTTCATCAGATAGAAAAGGGGTACATATTTTATAGAGAAAAAAACAATATGAACAAAAGCATTAGACCTCAAGGTGTTTCTAATGACGTAATAAAAAACCTATCTTCCATCCCATCCTGACATTATTTCGCTCCTCTGGTTACTCCATCACATTGCTCATTCATTAAAGGGCCCACTGTATGTTAAAGACATAATTTATATCTACAAGTATTTTATTTCTTATATAACTTTAAGTATCAACTTATTTTTCTATCTTAAGGTATGAAAAGACAAATTAAACCCAAAATAAATAGAAGGAAATAATAAATATAAGAGCAGAAATCAATGAAGTAAAGAAAATTAACACAGCTAAAAGGCATTACTTTTGGGGGAAAAGATTAATAAAATTAAAAAGCCTTTTACAAGACTGATAAAAAAGACAAAAAATATAAAGAATGAAAGAATCTGCAGTGGTAACTACAGATACTCAAAGAATAAGGATATATTATGGACAACTTTACCCAATAAGCTCAACAACTTAGATGAAATAAATTCCTTTAAAAACACAACCTAACTGACTCAAAAAGAACAAAAGAATTTGAAGAGCTCTATTTAAAGATATAAAATTAATTTCTTAAAAAAAACTTCCCAAAAAGAAAACTCCAGGCCCAGATTCACTTGTGAATTTTATCAAACTTTGAAGAGAGAAATACATATCATATACAAATAGAAAACAGAGAAGTACTAAACTCTTCCCAATTTTAATAAGTCGGCATAACACTAATACTAAAATATGATTAATGTTACTAGAAAAGAAAAGATCCATAGACCTTGTAAATGTAGGGGCAAAAAATCCTTATAATATTAAGTAGAATCCAGCAACATGTAAAAAGGCTAATAGACCATGACCAAGTTGGGGTTTATCCCAAGAATGCAAGGTTGGTTTAACATTTGAAAACCAATCAATGTAATTCACTATATTAACAGAAACACTGCATGACCATTTCAATAAATGCAGAAAAACCATCTGTCAAAATTCAACACCCATTCATAATAAAACCCTCCCAGCAAACTAGGAACAGAATTTCTTCCATCTAATAAAGGGCACCTATTAAAAACATATAGTTAATGTTATACTTAGTGCTGAAATACTGAATGCAATCCTGTCGATAACCATCAAAAACAAATGTACCCATGTTGGGACGTTTTAATCCACACATATCACATGTTCCTAGGAGGTGAGGCCAGCTGGACAGAGCCTTGACCCTGAAACTTCAGCATTTTGTTGATGTTTTCTATCAGAGTATCCCCAACCTTGCCACAAAAGTAAAGCATTTCTGGGCCTATCAGTGCTGACAGTGTCCTTTAGAATTTCTTTCAACAAGACTAATTCCTACCAACTATGAGGTAGTGTCTCAAATTCCTGGATCCATTTTTAACAGCTTGTGTGCTTTTTATTTTCTTTTCTAATTACATTTTACCACTTGAAAAATAAACTCATTGATATAAAAAGAAAACAAAGAACTTTTTCTCTTAAATTTGACTGGAAAGAGTAACCTTTCATTTGCAATTTGAAGTGAAAAACAGACACACCATCAGGCACACTTATGCCATGTCCACAAATTCAAAATAAAGGAGAAAAAACAATTGATTTAGGTCAATGGAGTCCAAAAAATAGACTTTGGGCTTTAAATGTCCTAAAATGCAGATTCTAGGTCTACTTCACTAGACAACTAGACAAGATATTGAACTTCTCCCCTCACTTTGGTTATGTAGCCGTATCCTGACGGCTAAATCAAGTAGGATTTAGTGCTCAACTGAAAACTGCCTGCTGTCAATAAGCCCAGACAGACCTTCTCAACCCCAGAAGAAACACACTTTCCCCATAAGTGACAAAATTTTCCTACCTTTTTCTCTCCTTCTGCTGCATCTTAATAGGCTCTGCTTTTTTGCTGGGTTTCTTCAGACCTGCAGGGGCTGCCAGCTTTGGTTCAGTGACAGACAGTAGAGGTTGTTCCACTACTTTTTCTTCTTTCACTTCTTGTTCTGAATCCAAGTTGACTTTAAGTTTATCTACAAATCAAGTATAAAAGACAATGTACAATCCCATCAGGCAATATTAATCTATCATTCCTTTGACAGCCTACTAAGTGCCAGGTAATATGTTAAAAGCAGGGGCTAAGGGGGAAAAATACATTCCCTGTCCTAACAGAGCTCATGATCTAGTCAGAGAACATTTCTCCTTTCCAACTACCACTCTCGCTATTATTGTTTTCTTTTCTGCCTCCAGCTAATCCCTCTTAATATCACAGCCCCCACGGCAAGTGATAGTAAAAGCAAGGCTTAGGAAAGAAATATCACTGTTCTCATTAGCTAGATGAGGAAACTAGCTCAGAGGAATTGAAGAGTCAGAGGACTTAAAATGCTTCCCAAGAGTACACAGCTTACAAATAGTGACAAGAGAAATTTGTGCTAAAATCTTATTTTCTACTAGTAGCCCTGCGTACAAATCCGTGCGCCAGTAGCTCTCTGCCTGTTGCTCCGCCCTCCTATAGCCCCCCCAGCCCCCACACCCTTCATAGCTGGCTGCCCTGCCCCCTCCTGTAGCTCTCTGCCTGCTGCCCCGCCCTCCTGTAGCCCCCCCCAGCCCCCACTCTTCCCCACCCCCCTCATAGCTTGCTGCCATGCCCCCTCCTGCAGCTCTCCGCTGCCAGCTTGTGGCTCGCTGCCCCGCCCTCCTGCTGATCCATGATCCAGTGGTTACGCGATGGTCGTTATGCTTCACGGTGTAACAACCATTTGCATATACATCTTTATTATATGGGATTAGTCTATCCTTTTAAGCCTGCATACTTTTATATCCTACTACCTTAAATGATATAATTCAAAGACTACTTTGGAATCAGAAAAGTTTGGTTCAAATACTACTTCATTCTGGGCAAGTTAATTTAAAAGTCAATCTTCTCTGTAAAAACTGTAGTAATATTTAGAAGATTTTCATAAGGATTAAAAGAGATCAACATATGAGGTTAAGTGATTTACTTTAAGGTAACACTGATGGGAAAGGAAGAGCCAGTTTAACTGCTCAAAGTCTTTACCCCTTTTCCTACACCAAGCTGAAAAACACAAAAACAACTATGGTGTAGTGCAGAACACTAAGAAATTTAAGCAGGATGGGCCTTCCATCTGAGAAATTATAGAAGAAATATACAGAAACTATATGCTATATTCAGTAATAGTTGTTTTTTTTTTAAAGAAAATTCACACAATACTCTCAGAAAGTTGTAAACAGCCTCTTCAATAAGTAGTTTTGGTTATAAGTCATAAAATAGCTTAAACCATCCAAAGTTCAGGAAAAAATTATTGCTATCTTAGTTTTTGGCTGTTACACATAACTTAGTATAATAGTTTATAAATAAAGTACATTATTTGAAAAAATAGATGATGGATAAAAGTGTAACATGTAATCTGTTTATGCTTTCTTTTTTGAAAACTTAAATGAGGAATCTGTATGGTTGAATCTACCATGGTGTCATTCTTTATTGCATTTTTACTACTGCTGTTATAAAGTATCAGTACTTCTCAAACTTTCCCACCTAACCATATAGAAGAGTAAACATGACCCGAAAAATGTTCGCTGAAGTTGCATGTGCATCTTTAAAGTTTATGCAAATTCTGCATTCTATCATATAATTGACATTATTTTGTTAGTATCTATTTCAAAATTACATCATGAGGAGGAAAAGCCTCCAAATATTTCCTACCTACCCCATGGATTGAAGAAAAAGAGGCTATTAATTTCAGAAAACTGATCTAAACTAAAATACCTTTGATCAAATAGATTTAGCATCCAGAATTTTATTCTCTGTTTTGATTTCACCTCATTTTGGGAACTCCAATTTATACATATATAAAACTATAATTGGCCAATTAGCTGGTAAAGAGGCAGTTTATTTGTAACAATTTCAGGCAACTGTTAAGAAAAATTTAATCACATTTTCTCATTACCTGAATGGTCAAGTTACTTGTATCATCTGACTAATTAAAAGCATCTCATTTTTATATTCAAGAAAATATAAAACCACTTTTCAAGCAAAAAAAAGTAACACAATGACTTTAATTGTCATCAAAGCTGCAACTGTTTTAACATAAAAGGCATTAATTTTTTTGGTTATTGAGATATAATTCACACATCATAAAATTTACCCTTTATGTGTAAATTGTACAATTCAGTGTTTTTCATTTGTGCAACCATCACCAGTATCCAATTTTACAACATTTTCATCACTCCCAGACCTTGACAAGCACTAACCTACTTTCTCTATAGACTTGCCTATTCTGGACATTTTGTATAAATGGAATCAAACAATACATGGCCTTTTATTTTTGGCTCCTTTTATTTCTCATGTTTCAAGGTTCATCCATGTTGTAGCATGTATCAATACTTCATTCTTTTTTGACTGAATAATATTCCATCGTGTGGATATGCCACTGTAGTATATCCATTCATCAAAATATGGACCTTTGGGTTGTTTCCACTTTTTAGCTATTATGAATTCTGCTGCTATGAACATCTGTGTACAAGTTTTGTGTGGACATACAGTTTTAATTCTTGAGTAGATACCTGGCAGTGGAACTGCAGGATACCTCTGGATTTAACTTTTTTTTTTAGTATTGCCATACTTTTTTTTAAAGTGAGCACATCATTTTACATTCCCACAGCAATGTATGAGAGTTCAACTTCTCCACATCTCTGTCAATGCTTGTCCAGCATTAAGTTGTAAATGTTCAAGTTCCCACAGTCACCTCTCTTCACCTAGCTCTCAAGCTTCATTTTCATTGCAATGACCTTGTTATGTGTAAAATATAATAAAAATATTCAATTTAACTGTAAACATTCAGCCTTGAAAAAAACGTTAATCAACTTTGTAAGCCATTCTTTTTATCAGGTAAATATTGAATTATTTTATATTATTTAGGTTTTATTCCTCTATTACATTCCATCATAACACCCTTTACTCTCTGCCTAACAATTACAATCATTAACTATTTTATTGTTTTTATATTTATTTGTGTCTCTGCCATGAGAATGAATATAAGGGCCACGAGGGCAGGAATCTTGTTTGCATATGTTTTGATTCATGCATAATGGTGCCAAGCACATAGTAGGTGTCAGTAAATACTTGCTAAATAACACATGAATAAATAAATGTATACTTCTGTATAGTTTGATTTCCCCCACTTTCAGGCCCTTCCAAAGCAGCAGCGACATCTGCCATTTGGTATTGTCTCGGAGAAGAAGCTGATTTTATTTTATTTTTTTACAATTAGCAAATATTCACATCTTACGTATTTTAAAACTAATTTAAAAATTCACCCAGCCAGTGTGGCTCAGTGGATGAGCATCAACCTATAAACCAGGAGGTCAGGGTTCAATTCCTGGTCAGGGCACAGGCCTGGGTTTCAGGCTCAATCCCCAGAGGAGGGCGTGCAGGAGGCAGCCAATCAATGATTCTCTCTCATCATTGATGTTTCTCTCTTTCCCTCTCCCTTCCTCTCTAAAATAAATAAAAATAGCTATTTTTAAAATTCACTGGTTATTAAAGTTAAAACGCATAAAAAGCAAGCAAACAACATTACATGTGAACCTCATTGAGGCTGCCAAGAAACCACACAATCTAATTAGGTACAGTGGGCAGAGCAGTACCAGCCGCACCGGCTAGTGACATTAGCATGATGTGTCTTCATAGACGTAGGGAGCCTTTTGTTCACTGTACTTGCAAGAATACAATTGTGCTTCCCAATATTCTGAAAGTATCAAATTTTCCATATGCTTTCAGAACACAAAAATGTTCTTGGATAGCTTTTATGACAAATAAAAAACTATCACTCCAACCCCTCTCCCAACCACCAATTGGACCATCACGGAAAAGCAGAATTCTGACTAATTTTGCTTGCATACGGCCTTAATAAAATGCTTCCCCACAAAATCTTTATAAAACTGATGCTCAAAAAAAAATGCTATAATTATCCTGCGGCTCCTACATTCTTCCTGATATTCTGCCACGTACGCTCAGGGGATGTTAACTTGATATAAGAAGTATGAAAATATGTGACTATTGGTTCCTTCCATATGAAAGAAATCCTATTTTTAGAAATATTTTTAATAAAGGAGATATTTTTAAAAAGCCAGTTTAGATCCCTATCTGAGCATTTCTAATTCACACTGAGGTCTAATCTGCAAAAATAACTAAAGAAAGGCTAAAGCTTTGTTTTTGCCGCCCTTTGGGAGATAGGGATAGTAATGGTGACACCAGGCAAACTGTACCAGCATCCAAGATATTAACCTCAACACTGTACTGCTTAACCAGGCAGCCTCCCTTTTGTTTTAATTCCCATTTTCAAGAGCTCTATAAAACAAATATTTTTTTTTATTTTCAAGGCAGGAGGTAAAAATAGGAATAGTAAGTACACTACACTCCAAAGCAGCGGTCGCCAACCGGTGGTCCGTGAGGTCCAAAAGGTTGGCAACCGCTGGTTTAAGGAAACCTTTGGAGCAGTGGTCGCCAACCACTGGTGGTCCGCGAGGTCCTAAAGGTTGGCGGCCACTGCTCCAAAGGATCTAAACTGAACCAAACTCACCCATAAAATCCACGATTCCAGTTGGGTTAATTTCATCAATATACTGAAAACTAATGTTAAGATTCAGGAATGCTACATGGTAATGTCCCAGATGGGTAAAATAGGCTTTCACCTCAGATAGGTAATAAGTTGTTATAATAATATTCATATATTAGTATTCAAAAAGAAGGTAAGAACATGCTTACTCATAGCAGCTTTTCCAAAAAAATTGCTCATCACATTCCCTTTCCCTGGTGCCTTGTTGCCTACTGAAGATGCCTAAAAGTATAGAAAGAGAAAACACAATTTTTTTCTTAGTGTTTAGGCTGCTCTTCAAATATCAGTCTCAAAAACACTTTCTTCAACAGCAGAGCACACTGTCATGATGGTTCAGTCTTTATATAATCATGCCAAACGTGTATGCATTAGATATAAAAACAAATCCAGACCCACCCGTACCAGTATTAATCTCCAAAGCTTAGGTCCTCACAGTTCTTATAAAATTATTATCCATGAATGTGTCTTAAATTTTCTTGAGTGAATTTAAAACTACTTAGTTTGACAAAATTAAAATAGATCAGAGGCAGAATGGTATGCGAAGGGGAGAACCCTGCAAAACATTACATTTGTAATCATTAGAAGTGGATTTGATGCTGGTTCCACCACTTAGTAGCTCAAGGCTTAGTGAGAAGCATTATCAAAAGAAAAAGACTGTTTCATGTGAAAATATCAAGAATTAAAGGATTCAAACTGAAGTATAAAAAATAGAACTAAATATCAGAACCTTATATAATCAAACTACCACCACTGGAACTATTTGTGCTTTGCTAGTTACCCATTCTGAGCTGAAAGGTATACCTTTAAAGAAGACTTACATTTGTTACCTCTTTAGCTTCCGTTTTGGTTTCTTTGTTGGTATCTTGGTTTTTAGAAGCAGCTTTAGAGGCAAACATTCCCATAATTCCTTTAGGTTGGTGGGAAATCTGTTTGGAAGTAGGTGGGCCATGACCATTGGTGGTCAACTCACTATTGGCTTGTGTCTCACTTGATACCTGAAGATTTGACTGGTCAAATTTTTCAGAAGATGAGGTTTCAGCAGAAGCTCTAGGAACTGCAGCTGCACACTGTATGGCACTAAACCTGAGACAGAATGTTACATTAATGTCAATATCGAACCTTACTTTCAAACTCTTGCTTCTTCAATGTAATACTTTTTAAGCCTAACACTATTAAAGGAGAAAAATTTCAGAACTAGAATGAATTTTAGAAATTATTTTCTGCAAAGCACTCATTCGGATAAATATTAAAGAGAAGCCAGTGACTTGTCTTAGATTATATATCTAGCTAGTAACAAGACTAGGATTGGAATCAAAAGTAGGATAGGGGAGGATTTGAGATCTTGCTCCTCAGCATGTTGTCAATTTGGTTCAAATAAATTCTTATAAAAATCCAAACAAAACAAAAACCCTAGGATATGGAATCTATTATACCACATTAAATATTCTTGTTTTGAAAAAAAGCATCCTAATTCTAAATAGTAAGAATATACCAACCAATAATAAAAGATTAGTAATTTCACCATACTTGAGAAACCAAATAATCCTTTTTTTTTAATATTTTCATATTTACTCCATGTCATCCTAAAGGGCTAGACATGCAATAAATACTAACTAATTAAAAATTAAGAACTCTAAATATTAACACATTTCCTGGCAACTCTCCTGGCCAGAGTGGATCATGATTAAAACATGTAAGAAGGCCCTGGTCAGTTTGGTTCGGTGGATAGAGCATCAGCCTGCAGACTGAAGGGTCCCAGATTTGATTCCTGTCAAAGGCACATGCCAGGGTTGTGGACTCGATCCCCAGTAGGGGGCGTGCAGGAGGCAGCCAATCAATGATTCTCTCATCATTGATGTTTCTATCTCTCTCCATCTCCCTTCCTCTCTGAAACCAATCTATACTAATAATAGAGGAATATGCAAATTGTCTGGGACGCAGTAACAGTAACGACCAAACAACAGGCTGCATGGGGCAACAAGGCCAGGAGGGGGTTTAGTGAGGGATGACCAAATGACTGAACAGTAGGCTGCGTGGTGTGACCAGGCCAGCAGGGGGGCATTTGGGGGCGGCCAGACTGGCAGAGGGGGCAGTTAAGAGCTTAAATAAGAGGTGGTTAGGGGTGATCAGGCTGGCGGGGGGTGGGGGGGGCCAGTTAGAGGTGATCAGGCAGGCAGACAGGTGGGCAATTCGGAGCTAGCAATCCCAGATTGGGAGAGGGATCCCAGACTGGAGACGGTGCAGGCTGGGCTGAGGAGATCCCCCCACCCCCGCACGAATTTCATGCACTGGGCCTCTAGTAAAAATATATTAAGAAACAAACAAAACAAAAAACATGGAAGAAGCACCCTGCCCACATCATTCAGTTGGTTGGAGCATCATCCCGATTCGCTAATGTGGGGGTTTGATCTCTGGTCAGGGCACATATAAGAAGCAACCACAACCAATGAATGCATCAATAGATGGAACAACAAATACCCCCTTCCTTCCTCTCTCTCTCTAAAATTAATCAATAAAATTTTTAAAAAATAAAACATGGAAGAAGCTGGGAAAACAGCCATTGCCTCCTATAACCTGTGGTCCGTAAGAATCGTTTGTTAATAATTTCTAATAATACCAACTAACAGCACCAGAAAAGTATGCCCAAAACCAAGTGAAGAAATTTGGAACTGTTTGAATAGGTATTAAAGGGAACATTCATTATAGACATGCCTGTTTCACACAAATCCATAATGTAATATTCCACATTGTGAATGGATAACTGATCTAGCCTTCTCAAACGGCTATCCTTGAAAAGCAAAGTTCCCCAACTTTTCCTAACAAAGAACATTTTATTTCCCAGTCTTTTGCTTATTGCGGGTATGTAAGAGCTCCTTGAAGTTAGGGAAATGTACCATTCATCATTTGTATTTCAGGTACTCAGTATAAGACCTGGCATATAAAAGTGTCAGGAAATATATACTCAAAGAATGATTATTTAAGCCACTGAAAGTGAGGCTTCTGGCTTCTCTCCCGTCTTCACCTCAACTTGGGGTGGGAGAAGATGGAGGTTAAACTATGTGGTGAAAGCAATTATCTTAGAGATCAACCAGGCACAAAATCAAGATTAACTGCTAGAATAACTGGCGTAAGGGAAAAAAAAAACAACAACAAAAAAAACCCTGATAAATCATTTAATTTCAAAAGTAACTTCAGATTGAACAGCCCCAAAGCTAGAATTTACAGTTCCAAAAATCTTCCACTGATTTATTGTGGTCCATATTAGAAAACCCTACATTAACACAAATATTTTGTGCATCAGAATTATGAACAGACGGAAATCATTTCCTTTCACCCACAACTCTACATCTCTGGCCTTGCAGTGCTTCCATGTACAAGGAAAAGAGCAATGTTTTATTTCACCGTCAACATCTAAAGTTGGCCCCAAGACAACTCTTTCTCCATTTGGTCTACATTCCACACCTTAGGGTCAGGACCAGGAATTGGCAATGAGGAAGAGACCAAACTAAGCTGGGAACTTGTCCGAAGAGAGAAGAATCTGCTCAATCCTAAAATTTCAACTTTCTTCCTGTCACAGCACTTCTTAAAAACACATGAAACAATGAGTCAGATCTCAGTTGGCCCATAATTCTCAGGACCAAATACTAAACTTCTTTATTGGAGAGAAATTCTTCACATTTTTACCAAAGCTACTTCAAGTATTTAAGTAAAGTTTCATTAAAGTGCTTGCTATTACCACATTTCTACTTGCCATATTTATTTTAGAGGTCCCTGTGCAATTTTTTTGAACCTTTGAGTCACCTTTATTCTTGTTTGCTTACTTGCTAGATACAACAGAAGAAATAGTTTTTAGAGCTTGACATACCATGACTGGATTTTAATAGACTATTTTTGAAATCTAGTATAATTTACATAAATGTATCAGGTATTATTTCCTATAATCATTCCCTAGAAGACAAAGACTTATAAATTATTACTCTTCGGTTACATAATTATATTTAACACATATATGTATGCCTATTACACTGAAGGTTCTAAACTAAAGGAAAAGAACTAATGTTTAACATTAGTTCATTCAACAATTATTTATTGAACGCTTATCATCTGCCAGGCACCATTATGGGTAGAGAGTGGTTAACAAAATAGACACGATCCTTATTTTCATAGACCTTACAGAAATTGTGTTTGGCAATTCTATATCTATTTGACCTCTATCAGTTATCTCATCTCCCTAGTATTTTCAACCATTTCCTCTTTTATGGCTCTTTCCTAACAATACAAGTTAAAGGCACTCTCAACTTTAAAACTGTGTATGTCTTCCCTTAGTCTCAGTTCCTCCTTAGCTACCTCCCTCTTTCTCCCCCATTTTATAGTCATATTTTCTAGAAAGAGTTATCTATATTAACTCAGCTGACCAGAATCTGGTAACTCCACTGAAAATGCTCTTTCCAAGACCATCACTATATCCAATGGACATTTTTCAGTTCCTATTTTACTTAGCTTCTCAGCAAGGTTTGAAATTATCAACCAGTTCCTCCTTGAAACTCTTTCCTTAGCTTTCAGAATGCCACATACTCTTGTAATTTTCCTCTTGTCTCTAGCTGCTTCCTCTCAGGCCCCCTTTTTCTGACAATCCTTTAAAAATGGCTGTCACTTAAACAATGCTTACTATGTGCCAGGCACAGTACTAAGCATTGTACATACATTAATTCATTTAATGTTCTACAGCCCTGACAGGTTGGTTAGCTTCATTTTGCTGATGAGGAAACTGAAGCACAGAGAGGTTAATTTGCCTAAGGACCTAGAGTTTTATGATCTAGAGTTTTACTTTCTGTCTTTCTTTCATTCTATACATTCTCTCTGTATGACTATGTCTACCCAATTAATTACCTATTTTCTTTGATTCCAAAATCTGTATCTTCATCCCAGATAATCAGAATATTAAGCAGGCACTGGGCCATATTCACTCTATAGAGTGTAGCATTTTGTAGGTACACATCCGATCTTTGTTGTATGAATTTAAGTTATCCTTTTTTTTATTGTTTTACTGCTTAAAGTATTACAAAGGGTATTACATATGTGTCCTTTTTTTCCCCCCGCCCTTGACAATCCCCTGGCCTCCCCGACCCCCCAGTGTCTTATGTCCACTGGTTATGCTTATATGCATGCATACAAGTCAAGTTATCCTTCTTAGCATCTATCAAAGTAGTAGGCATTCAACATGTATCTGGGGAACTGACCTGAACCCTCAATATAACCCCACAAAGTAGGCATTACATATCTAATTTAAAGATGAAGAAACCAAATCTCAAAGTGTTTAAATAATTTGTCCAAAGCCATGGAGGAGTACTAAGCAGCAAAGCCATGACCAACGCTCAGGACCACCAATTCTCAAAACCCACATGCATTACAGTCCATCACTTCCCTGTGCTATCAAGGATATCAAAGATGAACAAGATCGATACTGACTATGGAGGATCAATTGCTCTTGGATGGAAGGTGGGGGTTATCAAATTAGGAATAGTTTTTTGAAGGAAAACATTTGAACTGGTTCTTAAGAGATGGGCAGAATTTAGACCAGCAGAGACTAGGGTAAAGGAGTAATGAGGGGGCACAACAAACATTTCTGGTGACAGTGACAGGATAAATACATGAGAAATAGATTTATGGGGAGTCCACTGGGGTTTTCAATATGGGTTGTGGCTGCTATTTTTCACCTTATGATGTACTAATAAAACCAGGCATGTGTCTTACTGCAAGATAAATGGGGTTTTACTAGACCTGGCATTCACTCTTAAGAGGCAGCCACTGTGTAAACATCTTACAAAATCAATTCGTAAAGAAGCCCACAAGGAACATTAAGGAGCTCACTTGCTGCAGTTCTGCAAGTTGCTTTTAAGGATGTCATAGTCGGTATTGAACAGAGGCCCACTGTCCTTTAGCATGGCTTTCTGGATGCTGTACACATGGACGCTGGCAGTCACAGCTAGCTTGGACTTCACTGCTACAAGTCAACAGGAAAAGCAGTCTGTTAACACACAACCTTCATAGCATGTGGGGACTTTAACAAGAAACCCTTCTGCATTAAAACCATTTACAACCTGTGGTGGTCCAAAAAGCTCTAAAAGGCCAAATAGCCACATACTGGTATACAGTATAACATCACCTCTTCTGTCTCCAACAGGGACGTTATGTATGACAAGGTAGGTGGTGGTGAGTCAGTTCTAAGCACAGCACCTGTGAGGGTATCACTCATCCAGTGGACACTTAGTAAATACTAATGAATGATTGATGATGACTGTGATTCTTTTTTTTCCAGTCAGGCAAGATTCTTACACTCTAATGAGAAAGCAACTCTATAACAAATACTACTAACCAGGTGAGTATGCAAAGGAAAACACAAATGAACATCAGAGGAACAAACTTTAGGTTCCATAAAGGAAAGGACTATGCCTAACTTGTTCCAAGTCTCTAGTGACTAGCCCAGAGCTTGACACAGAGTATATACCCACTATGTACTGGTTATCAACTGAATGAATCTTGCTTTACCTACCAATGTGGGAACTCAGAAAGAAAAAAGTAGACACCTCCACCCTCCTGAATACATCATATTAATTTGTAATAAAACTACCCCACCAGCAGGAGCCTTTCTTTATAAAGTATAATTGTGTAGCCCTGGCTGGTTTGGCTCAGTGGTTGGAGGATCAGCCCGTGGACCCAAGGGTTCAATTCCAGATCAAGGGCATGTACCTTTGTTGTGGGTTCCCTCCCCACCCCCCGATCTGGGTGCATGCGGGAGGCAACCAATCAATGTGTCTCTCTCACATTGATGTTTCTTTTTCTCTCTCTCTTTCCCTCCCTCTCTCCCTCCCTTCCTCTCCCCTCCTTTCCTCCCTCCCTCCTCCTTCACCCTCCCTTTCATTCTCTCTAAAAATCAACTGAAAAAATATTCTTGAGTAAAGATTTTTTAAAAATAATTTTTTTAAAAAGTACAATAATGCAAGTTTTGTCTTGAGGCATAAGTCCAAGATCATGTGGAGCCCACTGTCTGTTATACAATTCCTCTGAATTGAGTTTTTAAAAAATACAACAATAGCAGTTTGAAACCAATAAACAAATTTAATTTAGAAATTATATTGTCTTTCTGACTTTAGAAAAGATTCTTTTTCTATCTAAAAAAAACTGTTACAGAACACAACACATTTAGAGAATACTATCTTTTTACAGTTGATTAGATGCTCCATATGGCATTCATGATAGTTTTTTGTATGTCTGTCACGAGTTTTGAAATCCTGTGATTAAAGTGCTTTATAAATGTTAGCAGCTATTGACTTTAAAAATGGGAAGTTAGGCAGACGTAGTATATTTTAATGTTTCAGAAACTACTTATAAAAAGCATATACAGATTTTCAGTTAAATAGCTAACTATATTGTATGTAAATGTTAGGGGGCAGATTTTTTTTTCTAGTGTACCTACATTGATGCCATAAAAGTAAAATTTGCTAAATTGCTAACTTACCTTCCAATTTATCTTCTCTCACTACTGCAACCTTGTGGCACTGTAAGGAAATAACACTTCATTAATGTTAAGTGCAACTTGCGATTTTAAAGTTTCCTAGCCAATAATTCAACTGCACTTGGATATAAAATTAGGAACTTAAGTACCCCTGAAAATATGTTACAGTTTAATAGTTATACTCATTTTTAACTTGCTTATATTAAAACTTCTCAGTGAGGTTAAGTGATAGAATATAAATATCAATACAATTTTTTAAAAACCCACAGCATCTCAAATCAGTGCGAAGAAAGAGGACTTTTTAATAGATAATGTAATGAGAATTACTGTTTAATCACATGGAACTCAATAAAAATTGGACATGTCTCTCAAACCATAGAACAATAAATTCTTAATGGATCTGAGATCTAAATGTAAAGAATGAAACCAGCCCTAGCCAGTTTGGCTCAGTGGATAGAGCGTTGGCTTGCAGACTGAAGGGTCCCAGGTTCGATTCCGGTCAAGGGCATGTACTTCAGTTGCAGGCTCCTCCCCAGCCCGGGCCCTGGTCGGGGCACGTTCCAGAGGCAACTAATTGATGTGTTTCTCTCATATCAATATTTCTTTGTGTCTTTCCCTCTCTCTTCCACTCTCTCTAAAAAAAAATCAATGGAAAATATCGTTGGGTGAGGATTAAAAACAACAAACAAACAAACAAAAGAATGAAACCATATAAGCACTAAAAGAAAATATGGGTGAATTCTTTGATAAATTAATATGATCTGAAAATGGAGAAGTTTCCTAACTGTAATTCAAAAATAATAAATATAATCCATAAAAATTGACAACCAACTTTTAGATCACAAAAAAATAAAAAATAAAAACTTTAACCAAAATACAAAGACAAATGATAAAGCAGAAAAAAAGTCCGCAAGTTACATCACAAAGGGTTAATATATAGCTTCTAAAATAAAGAAAACAATGACTAGCAATCCTTTAAAAAATGAGCAAGATGTATGAACAGACAGTTCACAGAAAAAGAAATGCAAATAACCCTGAGACATATGACAAGTGCTGTGTGGAAACAGGCATTCACGTAACATTGCTGCTGAGAATGGAGAGGTATTTGGCAATACCCAACGAAGTACATAAACATCCTACTTCTAGGAATGTAACCTTTAAACACACTGGCAAAAATATAGAGAACACATATACGCTGAACTATTCACTGCAGCACTATTTGTAATAGCCAAAGATTATAAATAACTCAAATAACTGTCAATAAGTGACAGCTGAATAAACTAAGAAATATCTACTAGAGGCCCAGTGCACAAAATTCATGCACAGGTAGGGTCCCTAGTGGCCGCCTGCCGCCACTGCCACCAGCCCTGCTCCTTGGTTGAACTCCCGGTTGAGGGGACAATTTGCATATTGGGCTTTTATTATATAGGATGTAGGATCATGTGGCTGTAAAAAGAAGGCAGAATGTTTCTGTAACTACTATGGAGTAACGCTCAGGATCTACTATTAAGTAGAAGTAAAAAAAGCAAAGTGCAAAATAGAATGTAATGTATAAAAATTATCTAAAAAGGGGGGTTATATGAATATAACTAGTTGGTGGTTTAACTACAGAGGAATTATTTCAAGTGATTCTAAAACATAGACTGATTGTGCATCTCTAGTAGGATACAGCCTACAGACAAAAACAACTGCAAAGAAGTGAAACCATTTTCAGTAATTGTATTGTTTCTAAAAATATTGGTTTTGCTTTTCTAAATCTTATATGTTTGGCTAAAGCAGACACATATTTATGTTAATGTAGGAACCACCAAAATTCACATCATAAAAGAGCAATATAAAATCAAATAGCCTTTTTTTAAAAAATGTAATTGTAAATCTGAACAAAACAGGCATTCTTAAAAATGTCATATTCTGCAAAGCTGTATAATAAAAATTACAGAGCTTAAGAGAAAAAGAGCATTAGGAACTAACCACTCAAACCTATGCAACTTTGTATTAAGAGCCCTAAAAGTAATAATTTCTACCCTCAGGAAAAAACTTGGACAACCCAGAGAGCTCATGTGGCTATACGCTGCTTCATGGGATATTGAAAATGCATAAAAACAACTCAGTGGAAATGCCAGCTTGCAGGTGCTAAAACAACACACACCAGAGTAGAGCTCCAATTCAGTTGGTTCCTATTAAAAGGAGGACACAGGAGTAAGTTCAGTATTCACAAACCCAGAGTCTGGCTGAGGCTAAGCCCCCTTGCTTTTTAGCACTTAAAGAAAAAGGAAAAACATGGCTAGTTATTGAGAGCAAGTTCTTCTTTATAGAAAAATTCCAGTCAATAGCATGCAGAAAGAATGACAGAAGTAGAGCACCACCATTTTGTGAATTAATGATCTAGGCCAGTGGTCGGCAAACTCGTGAGTCAACAGAACCAAATATCAACAGTACAACGATTGGAATTCCTTTTGAGAGCCAAATTTTTTAAACTTAAATTATATAGGTAGGTACATTGTTATTAATTTAATTAGGGTACTCCTCAGCTGGCCTTTGCTAAAAACGTCCTCAATCTGATTGAGGTATGTTCGCTGAGGTCGACCCCTCCCAACTCTCCCCTCCACACTTGTCTTGTATTCTTGTTTCGTCTATCTCCTTTCCGTAAACCGACTTCTGCGCATGGGCCACGAAGTCTCAATTGCACTGTATGTGCACGCCCGCACGTGGTATTTTGTGAAAGAGCCACACTCAAGGGGCCAAAGAGCCGCATGTGGCTCGCGAGCCACGGTTTGCCAACCACTGATCTAGGCAATAATAAAAATCAATCTCAGCTAAAATCATTAGATGAAAAAAGATAGTAGGGAATTTCATAAAGGATGGGCCAAGCTGACAACCTCTAACGACACAAAAAGAACCAACCAAATGTCCCATTGAAATGTGCAAATAGTTCTTTAGGAGACTCTCTGGGATGAGATTAGAGGGAGGCTTTTACTTTCTATGTATTGTTAAACATTTTTTACAAGAATCACGATCACTGGAAAAATAAAAAGTCTAGTATTGTTAAACATCCATACAAAGTCTCTAATGTGTCTTTTTCTTTCTAGAAACACTTAAAACTTAAAGAAGAAATTAAAAAGAGCAAAACTTGAAATTATGCTTAATAGTCTGCCTTCCCATAAGAGGCCTCTCTTTAAGGAAAAAAACATGGGTAGCATCACCCACACTTGGTCAGTCATCCTAAGGGTCCCCAGAGCTGCCCTGGGGCTGTGAGGAGGTGAGTACAGAGCTTCAAAATCCTCACAATCACTTCAACTGTGGCAATCCTACTCTCAGTATGTTTTTTATATTAGGATTCTAAAGATTTCATTTGAAAGCATTCTACTGCTTAAAAAAATATTGGCAGCACTTAAATTTAAAAATAAAAGGCCTTTATAAGCAAGCCACAGCATAGAAGTTTTTAACTGATATCATTTACACATCATTTTGAAAAATGGTCTCAAAAAAATGCACGGAGGAACACAATCTAAATGCACTTTCAGGGGTTCTTCCAGGCATCTCCTGAATCCCAAAGACCATGCAAAGTTCCCAATTTAAGAACCTCTGCTTAAGTGGCTTAGAATAAAAATCTACAACTTGATCTTAAAACATAAATTCTTAACCTTAAGTCCTGCTCCAGAAGATATATGAACACTTACAATTTTATGAATTCTTTCAGATTCTCAAAAATAAATAAATAAATAAATAATCAGTGGCCAAAAAATAAAACCCACTGCTTTAAAGAAACACAATGATTCCCAGGTAAAGAATTGACTATTACTAGACTGGAGGCCGCCTTAAGAAAGACAGGAGAGAGCTAGTTAACCCTGGAAAGAAAGGGAAAGGAGACAGCCAAATGCACACTCTGGCAATCCTATCTAATAAAAGACAAAAAGGATAATTGACCATACCTTGGCTACGCTTCCCATTGGCTAATCGGGGTGATATGCAAATTAACCACCAACAAAGATGGCGGTTAACTTGCATACATAGGCTCCAAGCGGTGGAGCGAAGCCAAATGTACCCGAAGCCACTGAGCAGCAAGGCCTCACAGCCCCGGGATCAGCGGAGCCACGAGGCCTCACGGCCCCGGGAACAGCGGAGCTGTGGGGCCTGACGGCTGGGGGGGTTGGGGGGGGGGGGGTCCCTGGACGGAGCCCAGCCAGAGCAAAGGCCTGGGTCCCGGGTACCAGAGGAAAACTAGTGCCAGCAACCAAGGGAAGGGAAGGCCTATCGCACGAATCTCTTTGTGCAACAGGCCTCTAGTATCTATATAAGAGCCATACAAAGAGAGAACTCCGGTGCCAGTTTTATTTCTGAGTAAATGAGCCAGGTCTGCTTAATTTTGTGTTCAGGCCTATAATGACATCTGATTCTCCACTTGCAAATATCTTGATTATCACCTGGCTTGCCAACTTACCAACAAGGAAAGAAATTTGCTGGTCAGAGAATATAAGGATTTGATCACCCAACAATTTTGTTTCTCCTTGTAAATCACTAAATTGCCATTCTAGTCTTATAGCTCATGTGCTTGGGACTCTGTTGCTATAAAACAAATCCAGTCAGTATTTTGAGAAATCAAGCTTCTTAACGTATGAGTCTGAAGGAAAGTCAAAGGGAAGAGGAACATATATATTAGTGGATCTCTGAGGAGCCCTGGTCCTTGGGCTACGTTCTGTAGGGCTGATGGTAGTGGAAAAAGCAAAAGAACCTTCAGTTAGGAGGTTAGGGGAAGTGAGAACAGAAACAATGTGCCTTAGAGGAAGCCAAAGAGGAGGAATTATCAAATTTCCCAAGGATCAGTCTGGTGCAGAAGGAACAAGTTATTGCAGCAGAGCTTCCAAGTCATGGGTGTAGCAGAATGATCCCTTTGCCCCTCCGAGGGACATGGAAGTAGCTAAGAGAAAGTCAGTAGACCTGAGAAAGTTTTGTGGTCAGGATGATGAAAATGCAGCAGTGACCTGAGCTGAGGGGTGACCAGACATGAATGAGAATAAAGATGTTCCCAACTCACACCTCTGCATTCTTAGCCCCATCCTTCAGCCACTTAGACATAAGCCTGCTGAAATGAATGATCAAATTAATACCAATTTCATTTAAAAAATAATAAAATTATACTTTCTGAACACCTGCGCGTGTGACTTGACATTTGAACGGGATGGAAACTAACCATCATTTTCCCTAATACATCTTCAAGAGGAAGACAGAGAAGCAGCAGAAGCAGTCTCCTAATGTCTTGCTGCCGAGGAAAGCTGCTAATAATGTTATAGTCTCTGCATCACAGCCAAGATACTACCAAAACTTCTCAGAGTTTTAAGTTTAGTCTAAAATTCAAAACAATCACCTACAGGTAGCTTTCTAAAACTTCCATAATACTATTAAATCTTGTGTTCCCCTTCCCCCGACTCCGTGTTATTTGACAGTTGATAGCTCAAACATATTTAAGCTCATTGTAAGATTCTGAGAACTTACCAAATGTCCATTCTGAACAAGACTGCCAGACACTAAGTAGGTGACATGCAGTTGGGCTCCTGAATTTTCCTTTCGCTTCCTTTCAACATAATCATACAGCATCCTGTTCCAAACAAAAGGCACAATAAAGCCATTAGCAAGAGTTTTTTACCTCATCAACTTTTAATTTGCGACTTGCAAGTTAGGTATATTAAATCTGACAGTTCATCAAATTTTCTACAGAATTTTCGCTCAGTTTATGGACCCAGAGTTAGACTGGGGTCACTTACTGAATTGGCACAGTGACCCCGTTCATAACTGAAATAAAAGAAATCTAGTATTAGGCCCAGAGAGAGTGAACCTGCAATAAAACAGTAACATATAATGAATAGAACACTCAACCAAGAATAAGTTCAGTCACTATGTGATTCTGGATAAGTTAATTTTTCTAGGCCTCTTAGTATCCTGAGGTATAAACAGGAGGGTACTAGATAGATTAGTGACTCTTTTCCCTGGGATTCATTGGCCATCTATAACCCTCCACCCCTCAAATTGGGAGGTAAAATGTGTTTTTATGCAGGGAGACAGTTCAGGGTTCTCAAAAGTTTCTCAAAAGGGTTCCAAAACATTAAGAACCACTAAGTAAATGATCACAAACGTCCAGCTTTGAAATCCCAGTTTTATAATCACTCAGATGCAATGCTGTTTCAGAGCTGCAGAATGAACAGCCTATCCCAGTGCTCTGAGTGCCCACTAAACCGAGGCCGTCCAACACCTGATACAGAAATAATGCTGCTTTCAGGAACATCCCTAAATTCATTTTATCCTTATGATCCAGCAAGTATCAGAGGTTGGCTCCCCTCAATACCTCACAGATTAACAAAAACAACAAAAGAGATATATCATTTCTATCTTTTATTTCAAGAAATATATACAGAGTCTCTATAATATGTCAGACTTCTGCCAAGAACAGCTAGAAACTCAACTCAAAAATTCCAAGGGAAACTCAACCCTACACGGTTGACCACTCTCTTCTTGAAGCATCTGCTCTCTTAGCTTCCATGATCCTGTGCCCCCATGAGTCCCCTGCTACCCAACCCTCTAATTGCCCTGCTCCATTTCCTGCACAGACTTGATTACCTCCTCCTTTTCCATAATAGTTAGGGCTCGGTCTTTAGCTATCTTTCACTCTGTATATTAGTGACCAACCATCTGGGTTTGCCTGGATTTGAGAGGTTTCCTGAGGCATGGACTGCTGGTGCTAAAATCAACAGTCCTGGGCCAACCAGGATGGTTGGTCTATTTCATTCATCCCCATGGCTTCACTAATTCCTGACAACAACATCTGCCTAAGCCACCCAAGCCAGAAATCTGGGAGTCATTATCCTTCACTTCTCCCTTTCCAGTGAGTTGCCAAATCTAGTCAGTTCTCCTTCCCAAGTAATTCTTGATTCCATGCCCTTTAAATCTCTTGACTGGACTATTTCAATTCCAAGTGTCAATTCTGCACCCCCACCCCACCCCTTCATTATCCACAAGGCTGCCACAGGAAAATGCAAATCAAGTCATTAGGTCAACAAAACTTTACTGAGTAGCCAGTTCCTGTTCTATGCCTTAGGGCAAGGGTCCTCAAACTTTTTAAACAGGGGGCCAGTTCACTGTCCCTCAGACGGTTGGAGGGCCAGACTATAGTTTAAAAAAAAAAAACTATGAACAAATTCCTATGCACACTGCACATATCTTATTTTGAAGTAAAAAAAAACAAAACGGGAACAAATACAATATTTTTATTTGCATTTGCATGTGGCCCGCGGGCCGTAGTTTGAGGACCCCTGCCTTAGGGAGAGAGCAATAACAAAGCAAAGTTCCTAACCTTTTAGACCTTACACTGCAGAAAAGAGAGACAAATAAGTAAATGTATGTTGAATGGTAGCACATCTATAGAGGGAAAAGTAACAATAAGAGTGCCTGAGAAGAACTTTTGCTAGTTTATATAAGGTGATTAGGAAAGGCCCCATGAGCAGAGCCCTGCAGGAAGGGAGGAAGCCACCCCTGTGGATATCTTGGGGAACAATGTTCCAGGCAGAGAGAGCAGCGTATGCAAAGGTTCTGAGGCAAGAATGCAGGCAAGGTCGGAAGAAGAGAAAGGAGGCAAGTGTGCTGACACAGAATAAGGAAGGATAGTGGTGGCAGAGACAGCCAAGCGCCAGGGCTTTGTGGCCCTGTGTAGAACTGGAAGCAAGGAAGTCATCAGAAGGCTTAGAGCAGAAATACTGTGACCTCACTTTTAGAAGGGTCCACTCTGACTGCTGTGTGTAAAATACACTGCTGATGGGTAAGGAAGGAAGCAGGGAGACTAGTCAGGAGGCTACTGCAGTAACCCAGGCTAGAGATGATGGTGGCTCAGATGAGGGTGGTCACAATGGAAGTAGTAAATTAGTGGAAAAATTCTGGGAGAACATAAAGGGAAAAACAACAGTATTTCCTGATGGGTATAAGAGAAAAAGGAGTTATGAATGATTGAACTAACCAGCTCAAAGAATAAAGTTATCATTCACTGAGATGGAGAAAAGCAGAAGTAGGCGTTGGAGGCAGAAATCAGGAGTTAGCTTTTGGGGCTTGGTAAGTCTGAGATGGCAGTTAGTCATTAAGTGATGTTGAAAAGTAGTTGGTATTCTTGTCTTTAGTATTATACTTTCGTCAAAATTTTTCAGTAGCTCTCCATCCCCTAAGGATCAACTCCAACTCCCCAGTAATGACATGTAAGACGCTTCTTGTTCTGGACCCCCGTATCTCTCACACTCACACTATTTTCAGTCTTACTGAGGCAGGATAAGGAGCTAGGTAGATTCCTTGGCAAGTGGAGTGGGCAAACTGAGGCAGATAGCTGAACAAACGGGCCAAGCAATTTATAGCCAGATACAGAAGGTCACCTCCCTAGGGATAACATTTAGGCCTCAGTTGTGTTTCAGCTCCCAGACCAGAAAAGCCGCAAAACCAGGTGGACGACACCAGGACCAATTGCAATGACTAACAACAGCCTGCCCTGGCACCGACCAGTCAGGAAGACCATGATCCTGGTAAAGCACACCTGGAAAACTAGTGAATATTCTACTAAAACCCTCCCCTGAAACCTCTCCTAAGATTCCCGCCTACAAGAGAGAGAGAAAAACCCCCAAGACAAAGGACCCAGCTCATGCTTTTCCTTTAGGGAGCACCCCCTCCCCTTCCCCTTTCTCCTCTTCTTCCCCAAGAGGCACGCATCTCCTAAACTCTAAGGGTCCCCAAGAGACTTGCAACCAGGGGAGCAATGGGAAACGGCAGTTTGCCCTGGGCTAACCCCCTGAACCTGTCTCCAAAGCCCCCTTTTCTCTGACTTCCCAATGAGCTAAAGCAGCCCAGCCTGGGCTCTCCGGATGCGTTTCCTATGCTAAGATCTTCCTTAATTCACTTCTGTCAGCTTTAATAAATGTACCCTCATAGTCACCTGGACTCATGTTGTGAAATTTTTACTGCACAAAGTCAAGAACCCACACACTACGGGCTGGCCCTAGGCAGGCAGACATGTTCAGGGCCAGGTCCCCTGTCCCGTAACACCATGAAACATTCTCCAGTTCCCTTTGCTCCTTTGTATTCCCTTTCTTCTGCCTGGAATGCTCTGCCCAGACCTCATCTACCTAATTCCTTACACAGACAGCAGATCAGTTATCACCTCCTATGTGAAGCCTTCCCTAAAACCACAGGCCAGCAGGACACCCTGCCACCTAAGCGCTAACAGAGTCCATCCCATATCTGTTATTAGAGCACGCACCACGCTGTTTTCTAACTGCTTACACATCTGCCATGCCTAGTGGGCAATAAGCTCACTAAGGACAAAACTGTGCCGTGTTTAGCATTTTTACTGATCGCTCTGTCTTGTTCTCTTTAGTGTTTCCTTCCATGCATTAGGGAAAATAAAGTAACACAAATTCATGAACATTTTCGTTTACTTATGCTATTAGGACCATGCTAATAGAAGAAATGATAGGCAGGTACCATGCCCAAGATGCTCTCAAGCTTGCTGACTAAATCTTTTATCTACAAGTCTATCATCACAGACATCCTCTAAGTATTTATCTCTCCAAATCAACTCCGGTTCTTTTATATTAACAGGGAGGTCAAAACTGCACAAGCTCTTTTTGAAAAATGTCATTCTGCATGCCTTCTCTAAAACATGTTTATCTCATTTGATCACACAAAACATTTTACCAATAAAATATGCAAAATATTCTTAAATATGAATGAAAATATATATGAATTCTTATAAGATGCCCTTCCTACAGATACGATTAACTATATCGTCTCATTTTAATTTATTAATTTTCCCTCCTGATCAGATCCACCCATAATTTTTACCAGGACAAATACAGTGCATAGGGATACTGCCTGCCCTAACCCAATTTAATTCCTTCACAGTATTTTTACAACTTGAAATTATCTTGTATAAATCAATGATGGGAAGGACCTTGTCCATCAGGTTTGCTGTTTAATGACAGAGCCTAAAATAATACTAAATATATAGTAAGAACTGAAAAAAATACTTCTTTAATAAATCAAGCAAATCAATACCAATTAGGCCCAATCACTGCCCTCATGCCAGCAATGATACTTTACATGCTTCCACTATAGAAAAAGCCAATAGTAGAAAGACAAATATTGTATGATTTCACTCATATGTGGAATCTAATGAACCAAATAAAACAACAAGCAAAACAGAAACAGACTTATAGATACAAAGAATAGACTGACAGCTCAAAGAGGAGGGGAGTTGAGGGTTACGTGAAAAAACTGAAGGGATTAAGCAAAAAACAAAACACAAAAACCACAAAAAAATTAAAGACACAGACAACAGTATGATGATTACCATGGGGAAAGGGGGAGGTAGTAGAGGATAAAGGGGGTGGATAATGGTGATAGGAGACTTGACTTTGGGTGGTGAACACACAAAACAATGTACACCTGAAACCTATATAATTTTATTAATCGATGTAACTCCAATAAATTCAATAAAAATTTAAAAAATGAGACTATTTCAAATGTTAAAAATAAATAAGTGAACAAATACTTATACCATCTCTTGTATAA